GCCCCCTGTTGCAGGAAATCCAAAACGGCTGGGACTGTGTAATCTCTATGATTACGGAGCCTCCAAGAGCTGAACGTTTTCCACACTTTCCCGTATATACGCCTTGTTACTGGTTTACGACTGAACAAAAGCGTATTGATCACACCCGTGGACAGAACGCTGGCCCTTAAAATGTCTTCCTCAGATAGCTGCTAGCTTGAATCTGAGGACCTGCGGATGCAGCACTGGTCCCTGCGAGATCAGATCTGGTCTGTCGGGCAGGATCCAAGATGCTAGGAGAATCCCCGGGGCTCCACAAGGTAGGCAAACCTACCCCTCTGCCTTACACAGGCAGGCCATCATAAAAGGAAGACTTCCCGGGCAGCATCACCACATGGAAGCCCCTCTCAGCGTTCTGTGACGCGCTCCCCAGCTTGACTGAGGAAACACAAAAGACTGAGGGAGTGGAGGAGAGGAGGGTCTTTTAAACAGATTAAGTGACGTGTTTCCTGTGTGTGAGGGAGGAGATTCCATCTCGTGATGCTGTCCTGGAAGACGTTATGGGAAAAAATAAATGTTTAAGAACTTTTTGAAGCCATTTTGCCCTGGCAGGAGACTCCCTGCATCCCATTCCAATATTTCTTGGCAGATGAGATTCTGCTAAAAGGCAAGGCTCCTCCCTTTCAGCACATTCTTTTCGATCTGCCTCTGCTATTCAGATTTATAAGGCCATCAGTTTCGGTCCGAAGGTACTACAGGCTCCTGAGATGCGGTTTTCCCCGCCTGTTGGCAGTTGTTTGCTGTGTTTCCCACCCCTCAGTTGTATTGCTCGGGGACATCCCAGTTATCTCTAAAACTGCCTGCATCCTGTATGTACAATCAAGAACATTTACGAGTTTCATAGAATCTGTTTTATAGAGTACACTATGAGACGCAGGATTCACCCGTTGTGTCTGCTATAAAAAAAAAAATGAAGATTATTGGGAGTGGGATGGGGTTCCTCACAGCTCTGGCCTGTGTACAATCATTTGATAATACCTGCATATTACCCGCTTGTCCCTGAATCTGCCTGGGTGCGGTGCTGTACACCAAGAAACAGATTCTACTTTGGTTTTGATATTTTGTTTTTTAATGCATTTTTAAGACATAAAAATGTTGCAGGACTAGAGCCGAGGAAATTAATTATACTTTGATGCGTGCTTATGTTTAGAAACCGTATACAAAGTTTGGGGTTTGCACACTTTTATTTTCAACAGGAGCAAGAAACACGGGGACCTTATTTCAAGTTGGTGTAAAAAATGATTTTGTACTGGAGATGTTTCCACAACAGTTGAGTGTGATTTTTTTTTTCATCCTTAAGCTTTATAGAAATGGTAAAGTGGTCAATGTTAATTTCTGAAATCTAGTGACCGCTATTTGAAATATGGCTTCATTGAATGTCCAGTCAGCCTTTACCAAAGCCTTATGTTGGTGGCAGTGAATGGGTTTAAAGGAGAACTATGGTGTATACTGAGACGCCGGAGCGGATCCCGACTTCGAGATCCGCCCAGCTGCGTGACAGCTGGCTCTGCCTATCTAGAGGCAGAGCCAGCTGTACCCCCTCCCTCCCTCATCCGTTCCGCCAGTCAGCCTTGGCAGATCGGAGAGGGGAATCCAGCCCCTCCCCCTCGATCGAGAGGTGAGCGAACCCGGTATGTGTTCGCTCACCTCCCGGTCTACTGAGCCGACCTGTGACAGTCTCATTGTCACAGGTCGGCTAGAACTATGAGGTAAGTGGAAATCACTCATCTCATAGCTCTCCTTTAATATGAGCAATGTTTATTATACAGCCGGGGACTTGAAGGAAGATAAACTGAATATCTCTGATTTGCCCTCCAAACAAACTAACTCGAAGATATTCAAAGCATTGGATTATTTTATTAAAGAAAAGGAGAAAAACTGCATTTGTGTGTGCACCGAGGGGGCTGCTTTCTGGATGGGTAGAAATGTAGGAGTGGCCAACACAAGAAGCAATATGGAAATCGATGACCTTACACATTTATTTATACATTGAAAAAACTTGGCTGCCAAAAAAGAAATACACCTGGGGTACATGAAAGTCCTTTCATAAGCCGTTAAAATATTTAAAGGAGAAGTATTGGGAGAATAAAATGTACTCTTCCCAGTACTTAGAGCCGGTGTGTCACACTGCAGCTGTCACACGCTGGCTGTATAGATCGAAAACTGAGAGAGCACAAAACGCTGGTCTTCTCCCTGCAAAAAGTGGAACTGTCCGTCAGTGCTCCCCGCAAGGATTTCCCACCCCTCCTCGCTATTTCTCAAGGGGGACAGATGGGGGAGGGGGCAGGCACAGCTGGCTGTAGAGAGGGAGAGCCAGCTGTCAATCAGGTAGCGGGGTGGATCCTGACAATATTGTCAGGGTGTTTTCCAGCTGCATCCCTGCTCTGCGCTGTCAGCATATAGTGGGCTGTAGCCCGCTATATGCTTAGTTTGGGGTCACAGAAATATACTCCTATGACCCAAAAGAGAACTAAAGCCGAAAAAAAGGTTTGTCTTTAGTTCTCTGTTAATTACATGAAAAAACAGTGCAATGAACAAAGGGCTGTTGAAAACAGTGTGTGAAGAAATGCGTTGTGACTATTAGCAGCTGCTTTTCCATAAAGAAGTTTGATGCTTCTCTGGGGGAAGGGTCTGAATTAGAGGAGGTGCATGTATATGCTTATTAGCAAGAAATGTGATCTGACACAATATCTTCAGGACAGCGACTGGGTAGCCAAGCTTCCATATCTTGGCGATATATATTCTCCCGAACAATTGAGTTGAACCTTTGTCTTCAAGGTCCACAAACAATGGTGTCTATGGCCAGGAACAAGGTGGAAGCAAACTAAAGACCTGGCTAAGCATGCCAGCCGAAGGGAAACTATGAAATGTTCACATCGTTCTCAGACTACATTACGGAAGGAGGATTCTCAGAAAGTTCTGTTTCACAACTGACCTCAAGATGCTTTCCATGTCATTTGAAAAATATTATCTGGATAATGAGGAAGCCCAAAGAGCACATCACCAGCTATGAAGAAACATCACGGCTTGCTAAACTATCATCAGACAGGGAAATTGAATATCTGTTCAGGTCCATGAGTAACTTCAATTCTGGATTCTGTTTTTTCACTGCACCTCTCTGTGAAGCTGCATTGTCTTTCTTGACTGTTCTTAAAACTAAACAGCAAAACCATTTGCAACTTTCCAATTGTTGACCTTCGACATTTACTTCCTCTCGTCCCAGAATGAATATACTGACAGATGGAAAACACCGACACAAATGACGTATCAATATGCAACTCCGATTAAAGGAATGGAAAGCTGTATTGCAAAGTTGATGTAAATGTTACTGTGCTGGAAATTGTTGGTTTGGGTGAAACGTTCAACTTTTTCTTCAATGTGGTTAATTTTTAATGCAACTACCTCCCGACAGTAGCAGGGCATGTTCGACATTCTCTTTCTACCATGTGGGATTCGTATAAAGCCCTATTATAATAGGTTCATGCATAAAGTTTCAGTTCCACAGTTTATGGTTGCCAGAAATAAAGCTTTAAACAGACAGTTTTTGTAGTTAAAGAGGAACTTTACCCTCATCTCCAAAATAACAACAAACACGCCTTTAGAAATGTATAGTGACGACAATCTACAAACACATACTTCTAGGTAATTGCCGGCTTTGTATTCCTTCATTTTCTTTTTATTTCCCAGTCTTCTCACAGTGGCCATACTAACTAAGGGCAGGTTACTAGATCTCCCTTTACTTCCTGGAACTTTGGCACATGTGACCATGCACATCATCTCAGGGGGAGGAAAATGCCTTTACAGATGAGATTTCCCAGCAATGCTCTGCTGATGTCACCTTCCCAGAATGCAACGCGTGGGCACGATTACAAAGTGGACCAGGAAGTGGGGGAAAAAGAAATAGTAACTAAAATAGAAATGTTTGTTTAGCTAATGAACTGATTATTCCATGTCAGCACGCAGAGATTTATGCTGATGTGATTTTTAGTCAAAGGGGGTAAAGGTTAGACATGTGCGATTCGTTTTTCGGACGAATTTTCGTTACTCGGTGTTGGGATGTATCCGAATTTCAGAATGAAAACAAATCCGGATTTCCGAAAACGAAATTCCTTGGCGGTAGTCTGCAGCAAAGTGACAGTAAAGAAAAAAAATATATATTTTTAATGTCAGTGCTGCAACGAAACGAAAATTCGTTCAGACTACCGCTAAGGAATTTCGTCCGTATCCCGAAACTAATTGACTTTCGTACCCGAATCCCAAAATAACGCAAAATCCGTATTGAAATTAAACCCTTTTTTTTGCCGGTGCACATGTCTAGCAAAAGGTCCACTTTAAGACCATTTCAATGACAGTAACTCATTTTTGACTAGTTATTCCCTTTTTGTAAACATTTAAAACATATTTTGCATTCCTGTACTTTCATATTTTTTTTTTTTTGTTTAAATCCTGTTGGGACATGAAAGGTTGAAGACGAATTTACCGGGCACTTGTCTCATTAATGTGGGGAACCACTGCTCTAGAGGGAGGTCCGGAGGTACATTTAGGTAATGCCTGGACATTCCTTTTTAGTTCTCCAGCACACCCCCTATATCTCACCATGCAAAGATCACACCTCTGTGTCCTACAGACCGTGTGAACGAGTGATGCAGCCTCTTTTTGTTTTCAGATATTAAAATTTGCAAGGCCACAGAGTGTACACTAAGATGAGTACAGTGAATGCAATATTGGCATGTACTGACAGCTTGCTGAAGGCCTCCAGTGCTGTAAGCTCAATGATCCCTGGTATCATGCCCCTTTTTTGTTTTTGAATGCCCTGTATTCTGACATCTCTGTCCGGTTCTCACAATCAGCGTGCCATTTCAGGCCATGTCCAGGTGTCTTTTAACAGTAACAGGCCTGGCTCTGTCTTCTTGTTCTTTTGTCACGAGGTTACTTGATGCCGTTCCAGCACGCAGTTGACATTGTGAGATTATTGTGTCAGCGCCTTCACGTACCAGTCGGGTAGAACAGGGTCAGATGGATTCGATTCAATAGTGAATGTGATTTCTGAACCTGGCTCCAAAGAGAACACATAGACAACTCTGTAGAAGACAAAGATCTGATTAGAAATCAGGGAAGAGAGACTTCTAAAAACATATCCATTGTAGCGGCTCTTACCGCGGGTCATCCTTGGTGGCCACTTTCTTGATATAAGACAGGAAGGCGTTACAGAAGTTCATGCACACCGCCGGGTCCCAGCTCTGCCGGTCCCCCTGCCAAGAGACAAATCCATTACTTACACACAGGAAATCATATTATAATCACAGGGATGTAAAGGGATCGAAAGGATATCGCTTATTCACCCGCACTAGATGAGGGATGTCTGCCGTTCGATAATTCTGAAGAGATACAATTTTTCCCTGCTGATCGCGAAAACCGGCAGCGATCAGAGGAATTCCAAGGAGAAAAGACTGGCACCACCATTTCAGGAGCTTGTATCTGATGGGTAGGAAAAAAAAAAAAAAAAGCACCTTTATCTATCTAGATGACAGCTTAAAGCTGAACTCCAGGCAGATACAATGGAATGTAGATGTGTATTCAATAACATACAATTTAATCTTTTATTTACAAGCAGTGTATTTTGTGAGTCCTAGAGGCCTTGCCTCTTACCCTGAGCCTATAAGCTGCCTACCCGTGCTGTGGCTGCAACATGTCTAATTGTAGACGCAGGGGAAGGGACAATGATGTCTTCTGTTGAGGGTGGCCAGTTCCAACTCACAGATGAGGTTTTTACTAGGGATGCACCGATACCGGTTTTTCGGTATCGAACATAAGTATCAATATTTTTTTTTTCCCTACTTGCCAATACCGGTGCCGTGTGCCCAATTTTCAGGAAGCCAGGCAGCGGATCATGACCCACCTCTCAGCTTCCTGATTGCCTGTGTTCTATCAAAAGAACACCGGCTTCCCTTACCGAGGCTGCCTGACCAATCAGGAAGCCGGGTGGCAGGTCATGAGGTGCTACCCGGCTTCCTCATTGGTCAGGCAAGCAGGCTACCTAGCAACAAGTGAAGCCAGCCTCCTAGCCAATCAGGAAGCCAGGCGGTACGCCTGATTGGCTAGAAAGCCGGCTTCATTAGTTGCTAGGCAGCCTGGCTTCCTAACAAATCAGGAAGCCAGGAGGTGGGTCATAACCCACCGCCCGGCTTCCATATTGGAAAGGAAGCCAACTCCATGCTACCTCGGCACTGCCGTTCAGAGGGAGCTCTCTGTATCCGATTAACCCACAACCTTATCAGCTTCTGAACCTTCAACCGCAGAGACTCTGAGCTGCTCAAGTGCTTAGTTGAGTCGCAGTCTACTGCTATTACTCATAAATGACAGAAGACTCTTTTATATCTCATGGATGTGGTGTGCAGCACCTAAAATTAGAGGATCAGCCCATGCTGTTTTAGGTCTTGGGTCCTTTCAAGACTCCTTAGGATGCAAAGACTTTCCCTGTGCACCAGTTTCTCCAACTCTTTCCCTAAGGAGATTTAAAACACCCATGTAAGTTGTTTGTTCCCCCAAAACACTCACTGGCTGGCAGGTTCTAAGGGACGGGGCATCTCGAAATTCCTTCAATACTCAAAGCTAGGAAGTTTACTTCTCACAAGATAGATCTTTGGACGTGGAAGGTTCAGATGGACCATCATCGGTTCCTCTGCTTTCCTGGCATATTTCCCTAGATCAGCGAGTGCTTCTTGGATGTTTCGGCATCTGTTTTCCAGATTTGTAAGGCTGCCGCCTGATCTTTTGTTGGCACGTTTTGTTGCTGTGTTGCCCGCACCCTCAGACAAACTACTGTTTGAGGTCCTGAAGGTTTAAAGCTTCCTATGTCCCTCAAAGGATTTTTGTATTCATCATAAAACCCTCAAGAATAAAGCCCTCTGTGTTTAGGATTATTCTCTCAGTACTGCGTTTCTACAACACTGAGTCCTGCTGGTAGTAGAAGGGTTTATCCTGGGCTGGTGTACAGTTTTGTTTTGTTTGTCAGGGTTCAATTCCCCTGTAGGTGGCAATATAAACACAAAAGTTTAAGACTTCCTGTGTCCCGTAATGGACTCCAAGAACTAAAAGCTTTGTTAACTATCAGTCTATCCTCCAACAGCCTGGCCACAAGGTCAGTAAATAGCTTGAGTTCCAGCAGAAGACAGGTTAACCTGAATAGCAAAAAGTTTTCCTGGCACACTCACAAGCTAGCATGTAAAACAACTTGTCTCACACTAAGGTTAAAAACAGAGGTTTGGATACACGTCTTCTGCAGAAAATGTGAAAGCCATTGCTTTTTTACTGTTTAAAGCCCATTCCGTGTGCACCTTACTGTATAGCTGGTGACGAATTGATGAGTGCGTTTGTCATCTGTTTAGGTTAACCTGAATGACACTGGGTGAAAATGTTAGTTCCAGCAGGGATGGAATACAGTTAAATATCGGCATACATCCAACTGCCAGTGATAACTCTTACAATAAAAACCTAAAATTATTATTCACACAATTTTGTTTGTCAGCTACCTGTTGAAGCTGCGCTGTTGGTGTGGGTTCCTTATCTGTGCGCTCGTCTTCAGCTCCACGTAGCTAGATGGAGGCGATGGGTTAGCAGCAGAGGCATCCGTGCAGTCCACCTCTCCTGACAGCAGCACAGAATGTGAGGCCAGACGACCCAAAAGAACACTGCAGTATGCCTCATTAGTGTTCACCGTCTCGGAAGGGCAGGGATCGCTGTCCGGGGTGTCTGTAAATGGAGGGCAACACATTAGTAATGTTTGTTGCACAAGCTGGTGAAACAACGCAGTAAAGAAAAAAATAGGACTTAATTTGGATGGAGAGTGGATTGGATTAGAATGTGTGGCCAGCCTCTTAAACTAAACCTGAGGCCAAATTGTAAAACATTTTTTCTTTACATATCCCCAACAAGCGGTAAATGAGTTTTAAAACAAGTCCTCTCTGACCTCATTCAAAACCCATCTGCAACTAAGCTCCCCCTCCCAGCAGTGTCTCGGAACCTCAACTCACCCTGCTCCTCCCTCCTGGCAGTGACTCAGAAGCTCAGATTTCAATGCTCCAGTAATCAAGCAGTTAAATGCCTCATGCTGCCCACTCTCTAAACACCTGCTCTGTGTGTACATTAGAGATTGAAAGGCTGATTCGTCACCAAAGTAACGCTGCAATGATAACTCAAAATCACAGTTTACTGCACATGCACTATATATATATTTTTTCCATTAACTGGGAGTAGGATTAGTCTCAGAACTTGGAATACAGGAGAAATTAGAATACAAAATGATCTCACTTACAAGCACATAAGAAGCTCTCAAACTTATATCCCGAGTAGGCGAGCTTCTCCTGCTCCAAGGTTTTCTCCTTCCTCTTTTTATATGCAGCTTCCGTCTCCCTCTCGTTGATGTACAGAGTACCTCGGAAGAGGGTGACAGCCAGGATCCAGCCTTCCTGTGTCTCGTATGGTGTACAGAGGATCTTAGTGAGATGGCCCCTCCAAGTGACAAAGTCTCGATCCACTGGTCTGAAACAAAAAAAAAAAGGAGAGGAACATTAATCTCTTCATGAACACTAGCAGATGATGTACGGGCCCTCCAATGCTGTTGCTGTTTATACTTCTTGGCTTCCACTGCAGCAATGGTGGAGCGCGTTCCGAACTGCGGCAGCGCCTTCCGGACTACGGCATCGCCTACCAGACTACGGCAGCGCCTACCGGACTACGGCAGCGCCTACCGGACTACGGCAGCGCCCTTTCCGAACTACGGCAGCGCCCTTTCCGAACTATAAGAGCGAGTTCTGAACTTTAGGGATCTCTCATCGCTTTGAATATAAGAAACCTAACTCGTATTGCCTGGCTTTGCCCACGGCCTCTCTAGGTTGTGACATCAGCCCTACCAAAAGGGTTATGTGCACACTGTGCAACCACAGGAATGGAGGAGCCACTCACACATGCATGCTGTTTGCCATACAAGGTAGAGCCACAGCTTGGAAAGCTTGACCCATCACAGGCTAAAGGTGGACAGTGTTCATATGTTAAATGATAAGAGAAGGCCTGGGGTAGGGAGGCACTCCTCATATACTGCAAGTTAAAGTGACATTAAAGTCACAATCCCCCCCCCCCTCCCCCCAAGTGTTTTTAAAATTTTATTCTCACCTCTTGCTCTCGCCGTGGCCGCTTCCTTTAATAAGCCCTTTGTTCTCCTTTATCCATGTGAGAATGTGCAGGAGACCCTCCTTCTCATCTTCATTCCTCCGAACGTAGCGATCTTCAAACCCTTCCATCAGGTCCCACCCAAGGGGGGCATCGTCCTTTTTCTCACCTGCAGGAGGGCGATAATAGCGCAAGCGACGGCCATCGGCATGGTAACAACGTTTTTCATCCAGCGAGAAGAAGCCCACCTCGGAGGGCAGCCGGTAGAAGGGGAAAGAGGTCTGATAAAGGGACGGCTGGGTTTTCAGGGGCGATGGAGGCCTGGAAGGGTACTTGCATGGAGGGATATCAGATGGAGCCTCGTCACAGCTTCTCTTAGGCATTCTGACTAAAATAAAATAACAGGAGAGTTTCATATGCAAAATAACAACTCCAATGCTTTTCCAGTCTCAAAACTGACTGATTTCCATAGCAAAATATAGGCCGGGACAGTTTCTACTGCCAGAACATTGCCTAATGAAAATAGTTTGAAGCGGAATTTGAGCCAAATAAACAGCTGAAATGCATACACGTAGACTATGTTACCTGCCAAAATATGTGTAACTCTGTACAGCCAGTCTCATGATTCGCACACTCCTCCCCACATTAAATAGTCGGTGACAACACTACCCAGAGCATGTACAGTAGCCCCTTTGTTACCTCCTCATGACCAGTCAGCTCACTTGAGACAGCCTCCCTATATGTTCTCTGTGCTGTAGGATACAGATTAAGGGCCCATTCACACATTCTTCAAGCGATGCTAATGGAAGGGCACCAAAAATGAATGGGTTTGAATGGGCTAGTTGACACCAGATACGTTACATTGCACTGAAAAAAAAAGTAGAACATGTACTACTTTTTTTCAGTGCAATATAACGTACCTGGTGTGAACTAGCCCATTCATTTTTGGTGCCCTTCCATTAGCATCCCTTGAAAAATGGATCATAAACGCAATGGATCGGAAGGTACAACCACAAGTCAACAGACCCTCCGTTGACTTGTGACTTCCTTCTGATTTTGGTGTGAATGGGCCCTACCCCAGCATATTTGTGTGAATAGTTCATTCAATAAAAGGATAGTAAAACAAAAACATATATAAAAGGTAATGATATAAAAAAAAGCCAGCTATTTATATTAAAAGAGGGGGGCGGGGTTGCAAAAAAGGGGAAGTGCCTTTTGGGAGTGAAGGTCTGCTTTGATTTTGGGTTCACAACCACAATACAATCTCACATTTTTAATGCAAAATATTTAAAAATGGAGACTGTCAAATAAATTAGTACTAGAAATGTCAAGTTTTAAAATTCCCATAGACATCACATTAAAATCCTCCTTTACAACCACCATGTGACTGTGCAGAGCAGACTAGGATGTTCTGACATCACTTGCAAGCGCTGAAGCCAGAGACAGCCAGGAAAATTGCATCTGCAGAAGGAGATCAGCAACAGCAGCCAATACACTTGTTCCTTTATGATAGTGACAGGATCTCATTGACAGCTAGAATGGCTGCAGTAAATGATATTGGGTCTTGTAGCTGCACAGTCACCGCCTCTATATACTAATATAAGACCTATATACCACTGCCATGATCAGTGCCTGGCTCCCACCTCCTCCATTGTCTCTCTCCTGCTCTCCTCTTCCCTCCATCATTCTTCTATTTATGTTTCACTTCCATAATGACGTATAATAAGAGGCGCCGGAAGTTCCGCACACCACCCACTGCTTTCACTAGAGAGTAATTTCCGGGTCTCAGTCTGCAGCTCATGTGACGGCAGAGCTCCATTTTGTCGTCTCCAATTTACATAGCTTTCTATAGCATTGTGGTCTCCGAGAACATGGCCGAGCGTGCCGGAGTAGACGTGTGTTTAGGAGAAAAAAATAGAGATTTCTGACTGGTGAGCTGGAAGAGGAGTGGAGTGGAGAGGAGGTGGTGCTGGTAAGTGTATACTGTGGATGTGGATTTTGTGTTTGTTTTTTTATTTATACATATATCTGAACTGGAAATCATGTCATCATCGTGACAGTGCTGCCTTCCTTTCTACACAGAACGCTGTAGATACAATAATATCTTCTTATTAATTTTATTGTATATAATGTCATTATAAATTATAATAAAAAGTATCTATATATCTATCTATATACATGAGTCATTAGATTGTATGTAATGTCATTCGAGGATATACACTCACTTGGCGCTTTATAAGGTATACCTCTTCAACTGCTTGTTAACACAAATATCTAATCAGCCAATCACATGGCAGTAACTATATACATTTAGGCATGTAGACATGGTCAAGATGGTCTGCTGAAGTTCAAACCGAGCATCAGAATGGGGAAGAAAGGGGATTTAAGTGACTTTGAACATGGCATGGTTGTTGGTGCCAGACGGGTTGGTCTGAGTATTTCAGCAACTGCTGATTTGCTGGGATTTTCATACACAACCATCTCTCGGGTTCACAGAGAATGGTCCCAAAAAGAGAAAATATCCAGTGAGTGGTAGCTCTCTGGGAAAGAATATCTTGTTGATGTCAGAGGTCAGAGGAGAATGGGTCGACTGGTTCAAGCTGATAGAAAGGCAACAGTAACTCAAATAACCACTCGTTACATCCGAGGAATGCAGAATACCATCTCTGAACACACAACACATTGAACCTTGAAGCAGATGGGCTACAGCAGCAGAAGACCACACCGGGTGCCACTTCTGCCAGCTAAGAACAGGAAACTGAGGCTGCAATTTGCAAGGGCTCACCAGAATTGTAAAACAGAAGCTTAGAAAAACGTTGCCTGGTCTGAAGTGTCTCCATTTCTGTTGCGACATTCGGATGGTCGGGTCAGAATTTGATGTAAACAACATGAAACCATCGATTCCCTCCTGCCTTGTATCAACGGTTCAGGTTGGTGGAGCTTTGCATCATGGTTGTGCAGCCAACAAATCTGCAGCAACTGTGCGATGCTATCATGTCATTATGGACCAAACTCTCTAAGGAATGTTTCCATCAACTTGTTGAATCAATGCCATGAAGAATTAAAGCAGTTCTGAAGACAAAAATGTTCCAACCCAGTACTAGCAAGGTGTACCTAATAAAGTGGCCAGTGAATGTATAGCCATTAGATTGTATGTAATGTTATTAGGGAATATATAGTCATGAATTGTATGTAATAATGAAGAAAACCGCACAACCTCTGCACACGATAAACAGTTTATTTAGAAGAGAAAAGTTACAAAGTAAAAATAAAGATTTACACAGCGTTGGAGATCCTGACAAGTCCAGTGTTCAGCTAGGATCTGATGTCTTCACCAAGGGGAGTTTCATTAAAGGAGAACTATGGGGTCAGTTTTTTTCCCCATAGTTCTCCTTAGGGTAACGGGAGGACACAAACTAGCATCCTCCCGTCACCCTAAGTTCAGTATACTGCGAGCTACAGCTCGCGGTATACTGAGACGCCGCACCTGGAGCGGATCCCGACGTAGATGACGGATCCGCCCAGCTGCGTGAGTGACAGCTGGCTCTGCCTACCTAGAGTCAGAGCCAGCTGTACCCGCCCCCTCCCCCGTCCGTTCCGCCAGTCAGCGCTGGCAGATCTGAGCGGGGAGAGGGGAATCCAGCCCCTCCCCTGTCACGGCAGATCTCCCTCACCTCCCGATCTACTGAGCCGACCTGTGACAGTCTCATTGTCACAGGTCGGCTTAGAACTATGAGGTGAGTGGAAATCACTCATCTCATAGTTCTCCTTTAAACCCCAATCATGGACAACAGTCATTAGGAATTTGTACAAGAAACATTCTTTTCTGTTACAATAAAACACCTTTTCATAATAAAAATGATTGTATTTGTGTATATATTTGTTTTTACATACATTGTAAAGCAGAAGTCCGGTTTAAAAATGTATTAACCCTTGCGGTGGCGCTACCCCCCGCAATGCAAGGGTTAACTGCTTGTTTAGCCTAGGGTAAAAAAAAAAAGTTATACTCACCCAATCCGCCGGTTCTTAGACTGGCCCCTGGAGCCTCTCTCCCCCCTCCTCTGCAGCGGTCTAAAGGTCCCCCCACACCTTGCGATAATCGCGGGAAATCCTGCGATCGTACGATTATCGTAAGGTGTGTGGAAGCTGTACTGTACGGTACTACTGTACGGTCGCACGACTTTTATCTTAGGAACATGTTCGAAAACCCGCCGAGCATCGTACGATGTTCAGCGGGTGTGTAGCATGTTCGTAAGATAAAAGCCGGACGGGCCGGTGTGCGCAAGCGCACACTGCCCGTTCAGCATTGCGGTCATCGGAAGCCCGCCCCTCAGGGGGGCGTGGCTTGCGATCATCGCAAGTACGATCTGCCTGTCCAAGATAGCAAACGAGAAAAAACAAAACACAGCGCTCTCATGAGAGTGTGGGGTATGTGTGGGAATGGTCGATGGAGATTGCTGCTCTACAAACAGGGGGAGAAAGATAGGCAGTCCAAGATAGGCAGATCGTACATTTTTTTAATTACCTTACAACCATCGCAAGACTTGGTTGTAAGGTGTGTGCCCAGCCTTAGGATCCTTTAGTCATCATGTCCAATATAGTGTATAGGACGTGAGAACGCTGAAGGACATACCACCAGTATAACTTTATTATTTTTAAAAAAACAGAACAGAACACAGAGCGCCTCCTCCATTTGAAAAATCATTTATTGAAGAATAAACAAATGATTAAAATGTACACTGAACAGACTCAGCGGAGTGCATAAACTGCTGTCACAACGGAACCTTTAAGAGGGGATTCCCTTTCGTTAGACACACGGCTGTCGTCAGTCTCTCCTGACTTCCCTCACCGCTGTGTCTCGATCGGTTAATTATTTTTAACCCTAGGCAACAGCGAGCACTTAACCCTTGCAGTGTGGAGGTAGCCCCACTGCAAGGATTAATAACATTTTTAATTGGAGTTGTTCTTAGGGGGAATCCTGGAGTTAATTATGAAGCCAGTTAGTGGAGCAGAGCTTGTGTACCTCCTGGATTCCCAAAACAATCACGTCAGATTAGACTGCTTCTCCATCCTGGGGTCCAGCACTCTACCACTTCACTTATTCAGAAGTCGTAGCACTTCTGCACTCAGCGGACAGAGCTCGGCTTTAAATATGACTGTGAAGACGTAGTCAAACTATTTCCTGCTGCCCGGATTCTCTGCCCCTGCTTTTTTAGGGGAAGCCCCACCGCAAGTGTACTTTTTAAAAAATTCCTGGAGTTCTTCTTTAAAAAAAACTTCCATTCATTTTGGAGATGTGTTTCTGGACCGGCAGCGGCCAGTCATGTTATCTCTGCTGCAGGATGCGAAAGTCTAAACTCTAATCCCCTTATTTTTTGTTTATTAGGATTCCTGATCTCTCCTTCCCTTACCCCTCTCCCCTCCCCCCCATGGACCGTAAGCGGAAGCTAATTAGCGAAACATTCAAAGTGAAGAAAAAGCGAGAAGAACAAGGCGCAATCAAAACTGATTCGTGCATGGTGCCGTCACCCTACCCAGGTAATGAGGGTGGCAGAAGACATCACACCTGCTTGGGCAAGGCATGGGGGGGGAGGCACAGCAGTGACAGCCTGACAGGTTTTCTCTCTCTTCCACACCAAAAGGAAAGAAAGTTTTGCTTTAAATATACTCGAATTTTTCTGTCTTAGATTTCACAGAGAACCCCCAGGACGCTGTGCCATACCTGTGTGCTCTCTTCCCCCGCAAGCTGTTTAACGACACTCTGCCACCTATGTTTCTGCGCCATCAAATGTACAGCATCATACGAGACCGCACATCTGCAGACCGACTGCTGGTGGGTAACTGCTTCAAAACTTTTCTTTTTAAAGCTGAACTCTGAGATATTATATATTGTCTAAATACAAGAGTCCTGTGTACTGTTCCTAGAATCTTGGTGAGCTTTGTGTATTTCTTCCAGATCTGCGCAGTAATCCAGTGTGAAACTTGGAGCTTCCTGTAATAATGACCACTCGCTACTGCTCTCTCTCCTTGTGCAGGATAACTGTTCTTGTCTCCACCCCCTCCTGTAATAAACACTGGTCACTGCTGCTCTCTCTCTCCTTGTGCAGGGTGACTGGTCTTGTCGCCGCCCCCTCCTGTAATAAACACTGGTCACTGCTGCTCTCTCTCCTTGTGCAGGGTGACTGGTCTTGTCGCCGCCCCCTCCTGTAGTTTTCTGAAGGCAGCTTGCAGTGGATGGAGTCTGTTAACTATTAAGGTGCCCATACACCTGCCGATTATCGTATGATCGTGGGATCGCCCGCGATTATCGTATGATAATCGGCAGGTGTATGGGCACCTTAATAGTTGGTTTTCTTTAAAAATCAACCACAGCCTGAGTAGAAAAGCCAGACCCCCCCCACCCCCCTGCTGAGTCAGATCTATAACTGTAATCAACAAAGTTCATAGTCCCTGCTTATTGAAGAGCTCTAGCTTTGACACAAGAGGCATCTTGGACCATTGCAGAAAAGTCACTGCTTCCACACAGAGAGCAAGGGTCCTTTTCTTAAGCATGCTGGCAGGGGACAGGCTTTCTCTACTCCGGCTGTGGCTGCTTTCCACAGAAAACACACTGTATGATTAGCACATCTTTCGTTTTGATGCACCTGGAATGTATTTAAAGCAGACGATCGATTGGATACATTTGTCAGTTGCCTGTCCTTTCTGGTCCA